CCCCCCATTGAGACCCCAGCATCCACACCTTGCAGATATGGTCCCTGAGGATGGGCTGATACTGGGAGCCCCGGATCTGCCGCTGGAACCAGGACTGGGGCTCCCCGTTGTAGGAGATCTCCAAGGCGGAAGCACCGTTCCTGATCTCCGGCAGGTCAGACATGGTGTCCCGCACGGTGATGGTGCGGAAGGGGCCGGAATACGTCCTGGGAGGAAGGAGGGAGCCATGAGCGGTCAAAACCTCGCCCTCATCAGCCCTGGCGTGGCTCCGAAGGCTCACCGGGTGATATTGCTAACGAACTTCTTGTCGTCCACCCTCAGCGGGCAGGCACGGGGCGCGAACACGTGCAAAGGCTCGGGGAACATGGGCAGCTTCTCGCCAGGAGCTGCAGCCAGGACGATGGCTCTCCGCCGCGTCTGGGCCACGCCGTACTGGCCAGCCTGGGAAGGAAGGGACAACTCCTGAAGGCGCTGGAGCTTCCCCATCCAGTCTGTGCCCTCGAAGAGCTGGGAACGTCCCCCAAGCCACCAAGGGAAGCCAAGGAGCAACACAGCCAACTGCCCCTTCGGAGGGGACGGTTCACGGCAGAGCCGGGTGAGAGGAGAAGGGTTTTCACCCCAGTTAACTGTCTTGGGGTCACCCAACACCCTACCTGTAGGACCCCAAAGGTGCACTGGTAACCCATGCGGACAAGGCAGCGCAGGGTGAGCTTCAGCACCATGGAACGCTTGAAGGACACAAAGTTCCTGACGTTCTCCAGAAGGAAGAACCGCGGTCTGTAGTAGTCGCAGTAGCTGCGAGGAGGGAGAGGGACACGTGAGCAAGGACAGAACATTTGAGGTGAGGGTCCACGCCCGCAGCCCAATGCAGCTCCTTGCCATCTCCCCCGCTCACCTGAGGAAGGAGACCACCAGGGAGTTCTTGAACTTGGAGTAGGTGCGGGAGTTGAAGCGGTTCATGCCACTGAAGCCCTGGCACGGGGGACCACCACACAGCATCTCCACATCCCCCTTCTGCGGCAGCTTCTGCCCCAGCGAGTTGGTCTTCTCGCCGGGCCAGAAAAAAGGACGTTGCAATCCTCTGTGAAGACGGTAGTGCCGGGATTGTTCAGTCGGAAAGCCTGGGCAGCCGGTTCCCACATCTCGATGGCCCAGAGCGTCTCTGACACGCCTGGGGAGACAAAGCGGAGGGTCTTGAGCCTGTGCGGAGGAGCAGAGCACTGGCTCGCACTCCCTGATCCGGCACGTGCCGAGCACAACCGACAGCTCAGAGGAACCGAGCGGCCAGCACCGATGCCCGTCTCCCCGTGGGCTCTGCTCATCGCCCCGCTGCTCTTTCCGCTCTGCTGCTCACCTGCCTGGTGGAAGCCCTCGGACAGCCCTCCGCAGCCAGAGAAGACGTCCAAGGTCCGCAGCTTGGGGAGCTTCAGCTCGGCCGGCTCCTGCTCACTCTGCTCGCAGCTCACCGACGACTTCCCTTTGCCTTTGCCTGTGAACAGAGCCCCGCTCACATCAAAAGGCAAAGTCATTTCCTCTTCTTAGTGCTTACGAGGCAAATTCTTCTCCCCCTCCTCCGCAGCAGTTAAAACATCAGCTTCGAGCACCTTTCTGCCCCTTAATTGTTTCACCGCCGCTGCCAGAATACGCCCTTGCATTTGGAAGGGAAGCCTCTCGTCTTTCCCTCCATGCGATCCCTTTCCATCCAACAGCCCGTGGGCGCAGGCAGAGCCTTTCTGAGGGTCAGACGGGTGCAGCCTGGGAGCAGGGTACAAAGCCCTACGCTACGGAGCGGCCAGCCCCTGGCTGAGGGTTGGCAAGTGAAAAGCTTTGAGATCTCTCGGGGACCAGGTGCTCTCGCTGCAAGGTTTATTTTGAAAAGATTAGGTGCCTTAAAAACAGAGCGGCAGACCACATTGCTGCATCCTGCCAGAGCATCGGAGCAAGGAGGAGAGCACAGAAAACATCTGGTCGGCTGCACGTCTTATCTCTGCTCGGCAGCACGTAACGGCAGACACGAACCGGTTCACCCACCCGAGACTTCTCCCCGCAAGCAGACTTACCTTTCCCTTTCCCCTTCCCCTTCCCTTTATTGCCAGAGCTCCGAGCGTGGTTGGGAGGATCTTCAAAGCTCTTAGTTTTTGCATTGTAAGCCTGAGGAAGAGAAAGGGTTCAGGACACTTGAACACAGAGAGCTTTTCTAGCTTGGGAACAGCCAAGGCATTGCCAACGCCCCATCGGAGCTGCGAAACCAAAGGGCAGGACACAGGCACAGCACTGGGGCCTGCAGAAGGTCCATCACCTCCCTCTCCATTGCCTTGGAGAGCTGGGGCGGCCGCCCAAGGGTCTGAATTTCTCCCCTCAGCTCCATAGGGAGCAACTGCTCCAGCCAGCTCCTGGTGCCACTAAGATTAAAGCTTCCTTTGCATCTGAGACTTAGTCCCCAGGAGGTTGCAACCAGCTACAAATCCTTTCTCTGCACGACAGCTCCTCTGTGCAAAACACACCCAGAGAGGCAAGACAGCCTGCGCCAACAGGCAGAGGTCGATGCTCCTGCTCTGCTTGGTCCCCAAGGACTCAGCATGCCCAGAGACACAGCCAGACCCCTCAAACCCCGGCTCCCTCACCTCTAAGAAGTAGAAGCGGTCGAGCCCACCAGCGGAGTAGTCCTGGATGCTCTCCGTCAGATCCTCCCCGTACACCACCGTGCAACGGCCCTGCACGGCGCGGAAGTCGACCGTCGCCTCCTCGTCGCTCCAGTACAGGAGGTTGATGTCTGCGTGGTAGCTGGCTTTCATGGACTTGTGCGTATTCTCGGGTCTGCAGGAAAGAAAAGCACCTGGATCGGGGAAATGTTTTCGGCAACATCCTCACCCCGGTCCAGCCTCCGGCACTCGCACCGCTCCGTCTCCCCAGAGAGAGGAGGGTTTATTTCCTCCAGCTGCGCATGTTCACTGGCATGGCCTGGGCACAGCACCAAAGGGATGATTTGTTTCATACCAAAGGGAGTTTTTGGGGGGTTCTCTTCAGAGGAAGGAGGGGGAATTGGCACCAGAGCTGGTAAGCGAATTTAAAGGCAAAGAGATCTGAAGGGAGGAGAGCTGTTAGGCTCGAAACACACAGAGCCTGAGCGTCAGCACGTTCCTCTCCCGCTGCCAAGGCTCTTCGCACACATCCCTCCGCGGTGCAAGGGAGATGACTAAGAGCCTGCAAATGTTTGGGTAAACACCCACGCCCTGGGACGGCGCTGGCGGTGCGGCTCGGCACCGGGGTCTGAGCCCAGACTGCTGCGGCGGTAAGCCCCTTCGAGCAGTGCCCACACTGTATCGCCCGACCGCACCGCGGTGCTTGAGGCACCTGGCTCCGCAGCAACCTTGACCTGATGGTGCAGAGCTTTTCCCAGCACCCGAGATCTCAGGCAGGGGGCTCTGCACCCCCATAACGCAGACCCCAGCAGCGCCGCTCACCTGTAAAACTTGCAGATGCGCAGCTTGATGTCGGCCTCGTTGGGTTTGCCGTTGCTGCGGATGTTGCAGAAGATCTCTTTGATGCGGCCCACGCGGTAAGGGTCGGGGGCGTCCAGGTTGCTGCCCTTGATGTACTCCGAGTACTTGCGGTAGTGCTCCGGGTGCAGCTCCTCATCCACCGCCTCCTTTTTGGGGCGCTTGGCCGGGCTGGCGGGTTTCATGCTGGGGAGAAGGGGAGGGAAGGAGGTTGGGGTATCCCTTCCCCCCGCCAAAAAAAACCTAGCAGCACAGAGCATCCTCCTCCCATGTTGCTGCCCAGCCTGCCTGCTTCCTCCTCTTCTGCTCTCCTTGGTGCAGGGTGGGCACCAAGCCTCCTGCTCTGCAGCACAGGCATTTTACAGCCAGACCATCACATAACCGTGCACAGCTGCAAACCAAGGTGCCTATATGTTGCTGCCCCAGCCCTCTTCCCAAAGAGATCTGCCATTTCTCCTCCCGTAATTACAGGCAGCAGGTATGGTCTTGTTTCACCTTTCATCTACCCAGGCTCGCTCTTTTGAAGAAAAAGCCATGCACAAAAGGATTCCGATTCATCTGCCAAAACACGGCAGCTCTCGGCGATCGGGATTGTCTGATCAGAGAGAAGTCGCTCAGTTTAATGACGGGAGGTGAAACTGTGGTTAAAGGCACCTTTTTTTCTAAGCTAAGCTTTTGGAAATTAGGGTGATAGGTGCTTCATTTACAGGTGGGATTCACTACCTAGAGACTATGTCCTCTGCTACCAAAAGCTTGACCAAATAGCATCCCGAGAAGTGCTTACAGCCCCCTGCAAGCACCAACCTGAAGGAAAAGGCTTCCGGCAGGAGGTAGACGCCATCTCCCACCCTGTACTGCACTCCGTTCTTGGTGGCCATGGCGTAGAACACCTTCCCATCCCCTTCTTCCAGGGGTTCAGCCACTTTGGGTATCTCCTTGTGCCTTACCTCGTCCAGGCGCGTGCAGCTCATGCAGAACCTGCGGGAAAGGGGAACAGCAGAGCGCGATGATGGGGACCCTGCCAAGGCCGGCTGCGGTGCTGCCGAGAGGCTCCTGCTGCCCATTTTGGGCAGAGCGGATCCCAAGAGCCTCTGCCCTGTGCGCGCTCACTTGTATTTGTTGTCTTCTGTGGGCTGAGTTTTCGGTGGGGACTCAAATCGAGCGTACTCCTGGTCGTACCACATCTGATAAAAGTAAGTTCTCCCATCGTCTTCCACCATCTTGATCTCCATGTCCAGCCCGCCCTGCTAGGAGAGAGGTGTTCACAGGGATCGGTGCTGCTGCCCGCACCGTGCCTGGCCTGGACCAGCCGAGGTTTGCAGGGCTGTCACCCACCTCCATGGACCAGTTCTCCGAGGGCGCTTTGTAGATCACTTTGACCTTGCCGTGGATGTAGGAGAGCTGCATGTCCTCGCACTCATCCACCAAGAAGAGCTCCAGGGGGTCAGAGGTGGCCCCCAGGACAGTGTCGGAGCCGGGGCAGAACCAGTGCGCGTGGAACATCTGGCCACTGCTGTCCTCCCACATGGCTGTCACCCTGAGGGGGAAGGAGCCAGGGTTATGGGGCACCAGGAAAGGGCTGAGCCGCTCTGAGCTTTGCCAGAGCTGGAGAGTCCCCAGACATCAGCACAGCCAAGCGGGGAGAGCAATTAGGATTCCCCCACGCATGTCCGCCCCAGCAGGAGCAGAGACTCATCCCCTTCAGCACCGTGGCACCGACCTGGCGAGGTAGAGGGGCTTGGTGGGATCATCGGGGCTGACGGAGACACAATCTCCCACTTCCAGGGTCTCCGAGTCAATGCAGACCCTCTGGTAGTAGTCTTTCTTCCCATCGCTCTGCAGAAGCAGGGGGACAGCAGAGAGCACTGTTAAATACTGCGACGCAGCCCCCGTCGCAGCCCAAGTGCCCGCCCCAGCCCCGACAGCAGGAGGGGAGCAGGCTCCTGCCCAGCCTCACCTTGATGGGCTCGCCCACCCAGGAGATACGGCTCTTGTTCTGCTTCTTCTTCCTGCCCTGCAGCATCTTCTTGGGCGATGGCATCTCAGGGATATTGTCATCTACCTCCTCATCCTCATCAGCTTCCCGGACGGCCAGGTTGGGACACCTGGGGACACAGGGACCGTCACTGCAGCAGGGCACAGCATGGGGACCACGTCCCCTCTCTCCAGAGGTGGAGAGGACTTTGGCAGGAGATATCGCTGCCCGGGGGGACGCACCTCCTCTGCAAACAAGCCTGCTTACTCCGTCCGCTGCCCCCAAACTTCACCATGTTCTGGCAAGCCTTGCACTTCCCACACTCGGGCTGCTGGCAGACCTGGAGCAGGGAGAGGGGACAGGCTGAGCACGGGTGGATGCAGCAGAGATGCCCCAAGGCAGGAGTGACAGGGACCGAGGGGACCTCAGCGGCCTCGGGAAATCGCTCCCTTGCCCCAAGGGAGCAACCCCAGAAGCGGTCATTCAGGTAGGATTCGGGGGACGCGGAGGATCAGGTTAGATCGGCTCTACGCCAGCCCCCTGTTACCTCGCAAACGCCGCAGCGCCGGCGCTTCATGGCGTTCTCCTTGTCATCTTCTTTCTCATCCTTTTCGATCTGCTCCGAGAAGAAGGTGTCGAAGATGAGGTACACCAGCTTGGTGGTGGTAGCTTTGGTGGGACCCTTGTCCTTGTCTATTTTGGTGGGGTGCCGGATGGCCTGCCGCCTGACAGCTCGCCTGCGACCAAGGTGAGAGCGGTGAGAGGGGACTGTGTGCCTTGTACGGCTGACAGCTACAGCCACAACGAGCAGCCTGGCACCCAAGGAGGGTCCCCAGGGAACAGAGCTCTCCCCAGGGCACCCAACTGCCAAGGACCACGGCAGGATACCCCAACAGGCACCCAGGTACGTCCCGTGGCTGGCACGGGGTTCCGAAAGGATGCTACCGCAGGACAAGGAGCAAAGCCAGGCTCCGGGGACCCAACCCAGTGCCTTTTCTCCCTCGGGGCAGCACTAGGCAGAGGGTTTTCCCAGTTTTGAGAGGATTTCTACCCCAATCTCCCCATGCTGCTCATACCACTGAGCCTAAATCCTCAGGTCACACCAGCAAAAGGGTTTTTCTGGAAGGACTCTCTGTGCAAAGCCGATGGGGAACCAACCCACCGGGCTCCTCGCAGGATGCTGCAAACCCAAGTGCCCCCCAAAGAGAGCGTCTACACGGGGACCCGGGCTCACCTCTTCCCCAGGGTGACTCCAGCCAGCTTGATCAAGTCCCTCATGCAGGGTGTGATGAGGACGGGGGGTTCGTCGCTGTCCCCAGCTTCGTCGTAGCTTTCCACCTGCTCCACCACGAACTGGGCATGTCGCAGGAGCGAGTCCTCTGTGAAGCGGTTGAAGTTCAGCCCCGCGGGAGGTACGGTGGTCTGCGAGGAGGGCGGGGGGGTCGGTTAGGGAAAGGGTAGCAGAGCAACACCCGCCCCTGGATACTGCCACCATCCCATTTGCACCTCGATTTTGTTGAGCAGATCCTCGTAGCTGACGTCGCGGTTGTTCTGCAGGAACTCGACGACTATTTTGCTCATGTAGATCTTCTCTTGCATGAGGGCGAAGATGGGAGCATACTCCTCGCTGGGCTCCATCAGGATGTAATCCGCGAAGGCTGCGGCGGAGAGATCGCGGCGGGCGGTTAAATACCGGGGAATTTGGCAGCATTTAAGGATGAGCTACGACTGTGGCAAGTGGGTCCTGGGGAGGGGAAGACCAGCCCGTCTGCGCTGCTACAGCACCAGGACCTAAGCGTGCGGGGAAGCTCTACCACAAGCCAGGACCCACGGTCACTCAGCTATCACCACCAAAGCAAGGGGGCAGTGGGGACGTGAGGTGGGGCACGCTATCCACGTGCTAGCCTTTTATTTTTTGCTGTTACCTAAGTAGAAAGCAAAGACAATCCAGGTTTGGGTTTTTTTTGTCACTACAAACTCCATTTGCTGATGCACAGGAGAGTTAAGTCCTCCTCTGATATCACCAGGTTATTGGAAGGGTTCCTTGCAGAAACGGTGAAGGGAAAAAGCTTTTAAACCCCCAAATATCAGCTTCTTCCCCCAATTCAGCTAGAGCAAAAAAGCCAGCTGGGACACAGGGCCGAGGGCTGGCTGGAACTGGGCGTTCCTCCAAGACCTTTCTCAACACAAACCTGTCCAAAAAGCCCGGGGAGTAGAGCAAGAAAGCAACAGAGCCCTGCAACGGGGGCCAAGAGGTCAAAAGCAAAGAGAAAACTCCCTCCAAGAGCACCCCGACCCTTCCCTGTGTTGTGCCAGCCGCTTCCTACAGAGGAGGAACGGGAGAACGGATCCTGCCTGGGAAGGGCTGGCAGGGAGACACTCCCGCATCCAGCCACCTTGCTTGTCCCAGCTCCGTGCAGGCCACTGCTGGCAGCTGCCAGCTCGGCAGGAGGTTTTATATGCATTTAACACAAGCCTGGGTGCTGCTGAGCTCAATAAACCCAGACCCGAGCTTCGGCACGGTCCTCCACCTCGCCACATGCTTGATGATGCAAGTTCCCAGCAGCAGCAAAATCCACAAACCCAAATAAAACTCCTTCACCAGCCGGGCGCGCGGCAGAGGCTTAAATCCCAAGCCAGGCGCGCTCCCCGAGCCCAACCTCCCCCATCCTCGCTCACCCACCTGTGGTGAAGCCGATCAAAGCCTTCTCCCCTCCATCGAATCCCGTGATCCACCAGGCGTTTATGGGTCCTAACTTCTTGGCTCTTACCCCACCTGAAAGTGAGAAAACACAAATTTCAGTCCTCAGTGCCCAAAAAAACCCACGCAGCTGTGGGTAACAAAGCACCACCCAGACCCAACTTCATTTTGCACGTGGTGTTGAGTTGAAACTGAAGGTGACAAACTAGCGTCCGTGCAGCCCTCAAGGCTGCTCTGCGTCCGACTCACCGTCCAGACAAGGGTTATCGTCGTAGATGGGCTTTACAGCACCACTGAAGTACAGCTCAATGTTCCTCTCGATCAGGCCGGTGTCAAAGGGGCACAAGTGACCTCGCTTGTCGTAGACGCTAGCAAGGGACAGAGTTTGATGCTTGATGCATTGGCCTGCAGGGTTTGCAAATCCAGCAGGTTTTTATAGCCTGCTTGCCCAAATCTCACCTAAAAGAGGTGACTTTGTGCTGCGGCAGGTCCTCGTAGCTCTCAAAGCCATCTTCATTAGCATCGAAGAGGGACAAGCGCTCATCCGTCAGCATTTCTGGCTCCTCCAGCTGAGCAAGGGAAAGAGAAGGATGTTTAGCGAGTGTTCCCATTAGCGCAACAGCTCTCCCCGGACCCGGAGAACGAGCATTAAATCCCTTACGGCATCATCAGGATCCCCTTGGAAGAATTTGAGGTCGGGATCATCGAGGTACTGTCTGCAGTCAACGCACTTGGGAGGGGTGGTCTGCAAGACAGGCGAGACAGCGTCGGCTTTTCTCTCCGCCTGTGAGCTTCAGCCCCGCAATCAGGCTCAAAGCTCCTTCCCCAAACAGTCCAGTTCGTTAGCGCAACCCTCATTTTTAAAACATCCAGGCAGCGAAACAGCGGCCGCTGTGCTTGCTTCGAAAGCGGCCCAAGCTCATACAGGCCGTGCTGCTCCCCACCTTCCTCGAGGGGGTTGATTTTTGGAAGCTGCACAGGCTGGAAATGGTTTTGTCTTTCCTTTAGGGAAGTCCAGCCACTCTTTGGAAGAGTTAAAAGCATTAAAAAAAGCTCCCAAAATGCCAAGATGCAGGAAAAGGAACTTACTTTAGCAGGTGTTGTAGTTTTAACCTGAGTAATTTCATCTTTTATCTCCAACCTGGGTGTAAGAAAAGAAAAATACAAAGGGATGAAGACACAGAGCAGCGTAACATCATCGACCCCGCGCTAAGGAGGCCACAGCGAAGGGAAATGGGCACCGCCGCGCACCGCCCCAAAGCAGGGAACGCTCTCCTTCCTCCTTACCCTTCTTTGGTTTCGATTTTAATCCTTTTCTCATCTTGTTCCTTGAGGGAGAAACAAAGGGGTGTAAGGGGAGGCTGGAGAGCAA